GATTTATTTTTATTTATAGAGGAACTGGGGTACAGGCTAGCGGTGTGGGGGTGTGAGAGGATTCACCATAGACAGAGTGGGGAGCAAAACAGGCACATGTGCCAAAGACACTGCTGAGGGTAGCAGTGGGTGAGGCAGGAGAGGTCTGCCGTGCCATGTGGGTATCTCCTTGGCTGGCTGGGAATGGAAACCACACTGCAGTGGTTGCAGACAGCTTCACAGCACTGTGCTTAACCCACTGCACCACCGGAGAGGCCCCTCTGAAACTAATTTAATTGAAGAAACCTAGGGAGTCATTTTTTTGCAGCTGTACATGTGTTAAGAAGACCATGATTATTAGAACCACACAACGGTGATGTTTTTATGACTATTGATATGTACCTATGCCATAATGCATTTATACTACTTACAAATGTTCTCTGAAATAATTCATTCACCACTGTTTACACCACTACTACGTAGTCACACATACTAGGCACAGTGAGAAAACAATGCTGTAAGAATATGTTCATATTTATTATCTGGGAAATGTAAATTAGAACAATGATAAGTTCCCCACAATACACCTATTAAAATCACTAAAATCAAGTACAAATTGTTGGCAAGAATGTGGAGCAATAAGGAGAGGAACTGATTTCTTCATTGACAGGAAATGCAAAATAGCATAGCTGCTTTAAAAGACAATTTGACACTTTCTTAGAAAGCTAAACATAACCCTACCATAAGATGGAGCAAATCATTTCCCTAGATATTCACTCAAGTAATTTGATTTTATTATCACACACACACAGACAGAAAAAAAAAAACACTGAACACTTGTTAATTTTTTAAAATCTCTCTCTCTATATATATATATTTTTTTTTTCATATAGAAGAACTGGGGTAGAGCCCAGAGATGCAGGAGGTGGGGTGTTAGAGGATTCAGCAGAGACAGAGTGGGAAGCAAATAGGCAGATCTACTGAAATACACTGCTGAGGGGAGCAGCGGACAAGACAGGAGAGGTCTGCTGCACCATGTGTGGGTTAGCTCACTGGCCTGGGATTGATCTCAGGCCATAGTGGTGATTGCACTGAGACTTAAACCCTAGGCCACCAGGGAGACCCTGAGCACATGTTTATAACTGCGGCAAGTGACTAGAGAAACATACAAGTGAACAGAAAATCAATGATACATTTGTGCAATGGAATATTTAGGAAACATTAAAAATAAGAAAGAATGAGCAAAAAGGTCATGCAAAATCAGGACTACTAAATGTAATGTGATATCCTAGATGGAATCCTGAAACAGAAAATGGATATTAGGTGAAAACTAAAGAAATTTGAATGAAATGTGGTCTTGATAAATAATAAAGCGTTATTGCTGCTTCATTAAATTTCAGTATATATTATAATCATTTTAGTTGCAATAGGGAAAAATAGGTGTGGTATATATTGAACATCTCTGTTCTATCTCAGAAATTTTTTGTGGGGACTCCTTGGTGGCACAAGGGGATAAGACACAACCTATGAAGCTATCTGCAGCCTCTGCAACATGGGTTTGATCTCGGCCAGGGAGTAGACACACATGGCACAGCAGATCTCTCCTGTCTTGCTGACTGCTCCCCTTAGCAGTGTATTTCAGTCAATCTGCCTGTTCTGTTCTCCACTCTGTCTCTTGTGAATCCTCTCACCATCCCACATCTCTAGCCTGTATCCCACTGCTTGTATAAATAAATAAATTCTTTTTAAAAATAAAATTTTCTGTAAACACAAAAGTATCCTTAAATAAAAAGTTTATTAAAAATAATTAGGGCCTCCCTGGTGGTGCAGGTGGTTGAGCAGGTTCAATTCCAGCCGTCCAGGAGAAGCCCACAAGGCGCAGCAGACCTTTCCTGCCTCACCCGCTGCTCCCCTCAGCAGTGTATTTCGTCAGTCTGCCTGTTGTGCTTCCTGCTCTGTCTCTGGTGAATTCTCTCACTACCCCCACACCTCTGGCCTGTACCCCAGTTCTTGTATGCATAAATAAATCTTTTAAAGAAGAGAGAGATTGTTTTTAGTTTACATTTTGTTTCAACATTTGTTTTGAAAAAAATTAAATATATGAATTAGCTTATTGTATTTTTATAAAGATTTATTTTGTTTATTTATGCATACAAGAACTGGGGTATAGGCATGAGGTGCAGGGAGTAAGAGGATTCACAAGAGACAGAGTTGGGGAGCAGAACAGGTGAATTTACTGAAATACACTGCTGAGGGGAGCAGCGGGTGAGACAGGAGAGGTCTGCTGGGTCATGTGGGTAGCTGTCTGGCCAGCCTGGGATCAAACTTGTGCTGCAGAGGCTGGTGGTAGCTTGAGTTAACTAACCCTGAGAGTTAACTAACCCTGTTTCACCAGGAGGCTGCTTATTGTATAATTTTTATTCACTCTGCTTTTTTTTCCCTTTCATACTCTTGCAAACTCTCACAAATACATACATATACATCTATTAATTATTATTACCATCATTATCATTATTATATAATATATTATTGTGATTATATTTATTTATTTTAAATATTTATTTTATTTATGCACACAAGAGCTGGAGAATAAGACAGAGGGTTGGGGGAGACCAGAGGGTATAGGCCAGAGGGTTGGTAAGAGGATTCACCAGAGACAGAGTAGGGAGCAGGACAGGAATTTTGACTGAAATACACTGCTGACATGAGCTGTCGGTGAGACAGGAGAGGTCTGCTGTGCCATTTGGGCCTCCTTTGTGGGCGGGGATCGAACCTGTGCTGCAGTAGCTGCCTATTGCTTCATGGTGCTGAGATTTAACCCCTTGTGCCACCAGAGAGGCCCTACTGTGGGTTTATATATTGTGAAACTATTTGAATCTACCAGATTGCTACAATTCTATAATTTTTTAGCTATTATTACCTATAATAGTGTCCTTATTTCAATTTTTCTAATTTTCACAATAAATTCTTTTGCATTTAATAACCATTTCCCTTGAGACTCCTTTAATCTATAATTGTTCCCCAGATTCCAATTTTTGAAGCTCTATGACAAATTAAGTTTCAATATTTGTTTATTCTTTCTTCTATAAACTATTCTTAATCAATAGTACAAAAGTTATCAGCATTATTTGTCCTCTTTTTTCTGACAGTGAGCATTATAATGCATTCTTTTTTATTATGCTACTGTCAAAAGCTCAGACATAGTCAAAGTAAAATTAGGAATCAGCATGTAGTAGTCAGTACAAGTTAAATATGTATACACCAAAAAGAGAGATTACTTTGAGAACCATTGTTTTAAATATTATAGATTTATACTATTTTTAAGATCTGTTGTCATCCAATCTCCCTAAATCTTTTTTTTTTTTTTAAAAGATTTATTTATTTATTTGTTTATACAAGCACTGGGTACAGTCAGAAGAGCAGGAGGGTGAGACTATTCACCAGAGCCAGAGCGGGGAGCAGAGCAGGCAGCAGGTAGCAGGAGAGGTCTGTGCGCCATGCGAGACCCTCCTCCAGTGGCTGGGGAGCAGCAGGGGATCAAACCGAAGCTGCAGAGGCTGTGGGCAGCTTCGCAACCCAGTGCTCAACTGCTGCACCACTAGGGAGGCCCATCCCTAAATCTTTCTTACACTGAGCTTAATTTTAGATCCCTTCAGATCCAGAAGGCTTTGTGGAAAGGTATAGAGAAAATTGGGCAATATGTAGGCACAGAAAGAAGTGATCATGCTCAGCGAAATAAGCCAGAAAGAAAAAGAAAAATACCGGATGGTTTCACTCCTAGCAGGAATCTAGAAAACTTAAATAAGAGACCAGGAAAAAATAATTATAAGAAAGTAAAAATCAAAATCAACAAACAACTATGAACCAGAGACACTCTATGGGGGTTGGGGGTGAGGAAAGGAGGGATTGGGGTCAAAATAAGGGGGTTGTAATTGTATGGGGAACATAAAAATAAAATTAAAATGAAAAAAAAGTTTCATTTATTCTGCTACAAATAATGCCTGATTATCTCCATTTCACTTCTATTTCCCTGTTATATAAATTCAGACATGGTAGTATCTCAACTTTCTCTGGTTCCTACTGTCAAAAACAAAGTTGAAAATTCTCATTTCTAAGTTTGTTTTGTGTGCTGTGCCAGAAATATAACTTTGGGCCTCTTAAACTATTTGATTCCAGTATTTCAACCTCAATGACACTACACAATTTTTTAATTTCTAGAATGAGAATGACAAAATTTGAACTTTCTGAATTTTAGTACTAAATCCAAAATTAATTTAAATTTCTCTATAATGCATTTCTAGCATTATATCTAACAATTACTCTGAAAATTTCAGCAGATTAGTGTCTTATCCCCTTTTTTAAATTTCAATCAATATTTTCTGAAAGGATAAGTATTTTCATTTGAAGAAAGTATTATTTTGAGGATTTTTTAGATATTAATATATGAAAAAAACTATGTACTTCCCTTCTAAATATGGTTTTAGCATCTCCCAAATATTTTGTTCTATCTTAATTTCAGTACATTTTTTGGTAAAAACTATTAAACACTTTATTTTTAAAGATTTATTTATTTGTGCACACAAGAACTGAGGTATAGGCCAGAGGTGCTGGGGGTGAGAGTATTTACCAGAGACAGAATAGGGAACAGAGCAGGGGATCTACTGAAATACACAGCTAAGGGGAGCAGAGAGCAAGACAAGAGAGGTCTACTATGCCATGTGGGTAGCACCCTGGCTAGCTAGGGAGCTGCTGCAGAGTGCAGGGGCTGCTGATAGCTTCACAGTACTGTGCTTAAACAGGTATGCACTAGGGAGGCCCTAAACATACTTCAGTTAAGCTCATGAAGAGCAGCTTGTTGGCATTTAAAGTATATTTATAGGAATCTAAATATAGAATGTATTAATGAATGTTGTTATAACTTATTTTGTACCAATAAATTCATTATTGATTTATGTAAAAAATTATGATTTTTATGAATAATATAATTAAAATATGCTTTCCTTTTGTTTGTATCTTCATAGCTCAGTCCATTTTTAAGACATTCTGTTCTGAAGAAAACATTTAATGTCACTCTGCAAAATCCTTTCCTGAACAAAGACACTTCTGCTATAGAGCAAAGAACAAAAAAAGTGCTCAGAAAGCAAATTTGAATCTACTAGATGGTATGTTTGTTTGTCCTTACTGAAATATCTGGTTGTCACATGTTTTACAAACCATAAATTAAGTATCATACAGAATCTCTGGTTCAGATAACATAATTTCTATAACTTCAAAGCAATATATCTATAACCATTATGTGGCGATTAGTTATGTTTGTGGCCCCAATCAGTAATTAACAATTTATAGTAAAAGAAAATCTGTATGCTGCTAGAAATGAGTTATTTTAAATAAAATAAGTTATTTTATTTCTTTAAATGCGTTTATTATTATTATTTATTGATATTGATTTATAACACTACATATGATTCAGAGGTATAGGTTCACCCTCTTCAGGTGTGTATCACCATACTATACCTTTGTTCAAGGCATGCCTTTGTCCAAGGCATCCAAAGTCCTCCTCCATGGTCCATTGTGGCCTCACCCTACTTTGTTCTACCTAGTGCTCACTCTCTGATGGCCTCAATTCTAGTCAGATTTCTAAGGTTTATTATTGTTTTGTTTTTATCTAACTCTTTGTTTTGTTTTTCTATATTCCACATATAAGTGACGTCATCTAGAAGTGCCATTACATTTTCATTTTTACACATTCTATTTGCCTGTAATGCCATGGCAGTTAATTTAATGATGTAATTTTGACAACCTTTATTTATTTTTAGTTTTAATTATCCTTTTAAATACAAAGATCTCTGAAAATATTAATATTCTTTATTCAGTAGTTGTGGAAGTACATCTCATTGAAACACAAGGCTTTTTGATCAAATTGTAAAATCAAACAAGTTTGAACTAAGAATATTTTCTTATGCAAGTAGATAATAAATATTAAAATATGGGTTAGACACTGGGTATATGACTGTGCATGGTTTAGATTTGATTTTCTTTTTATATGATAGGATTAGATTTGAATTACTGTTGCTATATTCCATACAAAGATGACTTTTCATTTCAGGATCCACACTATCAAGGGGCATTGCTTTATAATAATGTAATGAAATAATATTAATTGCTAGGTAACTCTTTTCTAGACAGAAAAATATTTATGGCTATCAGAATTTGTAAAATTTAATGTCTGATAGATTATTAGAATATTTATTGGAGTAATAGATCAAATTCATATAGATGCTATCAATATATTCTTGATATATCTAGACCTCTAGTATCCTAAATGAGTCACTTAGTCACATGTGACTATTGAGCACTTGAGGTAGGATTATTTCAAATTTAAATATCCACATTTCAGAATAATAAATCAGTAAATTGCAGTTAAAAACAATGATTATAATAATGGCTTATTTTTAATTCCATCCCATACACTTTTATTTCTATTATATAATCATTATGATAGGACAAGGTATCCCATAAGGTCTACTCAAAAGCATTTTTAGTTATTGCAGCATTACTCCATTTAAAACACAATGATTTGAAAACTATATTAATCCATTTAAATCCACTGCCTTGTTTTTTATGCTGAGTGTCAAATGTTTCAATACTTGGGCCTCCCCTGGTGGCGCAGCAGTTAAGCGCTGGCCTGTAAAGCTGCCTGCAGCATCTGCAAAGCCGGTTTGATCCCCTGCGGCTGGCGAGGGTCCCACATGGTGCACAGACCTCTCCTGCCACGCCTGCTGCTCCCCTCAGCAGTGTACTTCGTCAGTCTGCCTGTTCTGTTCCCTGCTCTGGCTCTGGTGAATTCTCTCACCCTCCAGCACTTCTGACTATACCCAGTGCTCGTATAAATAAATAAATAAATCTTAAAAAAAAAGATTCAATTCTTTATCTATAGTTGACCCAATGAGAGGCTTATTGTTATATTCATCTCAATTTACCTACATAATTTTCTGTATATTGTTATTTATTTCTTCTTTTATTTATGTGCTTCTCTTTAGAGGCTTTATTCCTATGTCTACTGAGCTCTTTTTGTTATGTATGTTCATATAGATTTGCTGTTTATGAATTCTCTCAGTTTCTGCTTGTTTGTAAACATCTTTTGTTTCACCTTCATATTTGAAGAATATTTTTCCTGGATAAAAATTTCTAGGTCATAATGTAGTTTGTATATTGCTGTCAGTTTGTACAAATTTTTAGTATACATTTAAAAAATTAACTGGACTCTAATGTGCCTAAGACTTCCTGTCCCCCACATTGACACACCTTTGTGTTTGCTATAGCCCAGGATTGTGTGGGTTGATGTGAACAATTCTCACCTGTTATATCTTAAATTATTACCTTATTACATGCTCTCTTCTTATTTTGATATAACAAAAACAATTTTTTTATTGTGTCTCATATGTCTTGCCAGAGATGTGGAGAGTTCTAATATTCCCCAGGGGAGCAGAACAGGTGGATCCACTGAAATACACTGCTGAGGGTAGCAGTGGGCGAGACAAGTTTGCTCCCTGGTCAGTGATCAAATTCATGCTGCAGTGGCTGTGGACAGCTTCATAGTGCTGAGACTTAACCCCTTGTGCCACCAGGGAGGCCCTGTTTCTAAATCATTTAATAGCATCTTATAGTATTCTTTGAAAAGATATTTTACATCTTTTGATAAATTTATTTCAAGTTTTTTCCTTTTTGATGTGATTATAAATGGATTGTTTTCCAAATATCTCTTATTTTTTGTTTGTTGATTTCATAGGAATGCAAGAGAAATTTGTGTATTTATTATCAAGTTGGCAACTTCGTTGCACTCATTTATTTTGTCTAATATGTAATGTGTATATATGTGTGTATGTGCATATAAATATGCACATACACACATATATGTGTATGTTTTTGATCTTCTATGCATATTATTACATTATCTGCAAACTTTGACAATTTCACCTTTTTTTTTCAATCTAGATTTCTTTTAATTTTTAATTGTCTAATTCCTCTGGCTAAAACATTTAAAGTTAAATTAAATGAAATTGGTAAAATTGGACATTACTATCATGTTCTTAAAAGAAGAGCTTGCAGTTTTTTACCATGATACTAGTTTTGGTTTGTACAATATGTTCTTTTTATATCCACCTTATCACCATTGCTGAATCTTATCAAATACTTTATCTGTATTTATACATACAGCATATGATTTTTTTGTCTTTCCTTTTGTTTATGTAGTTTACTATTATGTATGACTTGCATATGTTGAACCATCCATGCATCCCTGGAATAAATCCCAATTGGTCATGCTGTATGATGTATTTGACCTATTATTCAATTCAGTTGGTAGTATTGAGTTGGGCCTGCAATCTGGGAACCAAACTCCAAGGCAGTTCAGTCCTCAGTTCTTGCCATGGCAAGAAAATAATTCATAGCTGAAACCAGAGTTAGACAGAAAAGCATAAGTTTATTGTAAGATAAGGAAAAGGACAGGAAAGCTCTCTGAACAGAGAGGGGTCCTGTAGTGGGTAGCCACTTATGGACAAGAAACAGGGGTTTATATGCTTTATTTAAAAGTGAGGTGTATGTTGGGGTGAGTCTGCACTGTGAGGTGGGTGATGGGGTGAGTCTGCACTGTCTTTTTGATTGGCAGGGGTCCACTACAGGCTACTCTTTATTTTTTTAAAGATTTATTTATTTATGCATACAAGAACTTGGGTACAAGCCAAAGGTGTGGAGGGTGAGAGGATTCACCAGAGAAAGATTGGGGAACAGAACAGGCAGATTGAGTGAAATACACTGTGAGGGGAGCAGCGGATGTGTCAGGAGAGGTCTGCTGTGCCATGTGGGTAGCTCCCTGGCCTGGGATCGAACTCATGCTGCAGAGTCTGCAGATTGCTTCAAAGGTTGCATCCTAACCCCTTGCGCCACCAGGGAGGCCCCATACAGTCTTCTCTTTAGTTGGTTTTGGCCATTCATCTTCACTTTGGGCTGGAGTCTCCTTGACTAGATTACATCTTATTTTTGAAACACACAAATGGTACTAAACTTGGCCAACAAAGATGTTTGCTCCAGGTTGGGCAACCTGTGGAATTTCCTGTTTTCCAGGGTGTTATCAAGGTTGAGGCCACCGATGGGCCTAACTTTCTACATTCCCAACTTACTACCTCCTTCATTCTCCCCACTAGAGGGGTATCTATGACTGCCCATAGAGGACAGATGTGAAGACCTCTCTGGCTGCTTCCTGTGGCAGTTAGGGATCACCCTCTAGAGTAGGTGATCAAAGGGGCCTCAGTAAATATCTTGAAGGGCATTTATTTGTGGCTCCATTTGCATCACCATTTGTAATCGGACTTTTTTTATCCTGGATGAGACAAATCTATCAACAATGTTAAGGATGCATGGACCAAAGCAAAGTAAAAGAAAGGTTATTACTAAATTGCTGAGAAAAAGCACTAGCCATGTCCATAACTGGGATCCTGCTGAGGAAAACAGTGACTGAAAACAAGTCTGCCCTTTATCTGCCTCTTTTTCAAGAGCCTCATAACTTGGTTCCCTGTCTGGGAATTGAAACTGGGTCACTTTAGTGAGATCACCAGATTTGAGTCAATAGGCAGCCAGAGCTGTTTGTGTCTCTACATTTTGATACTCCATTTAGATACTTACTCTTTGACTGAAACATGTAGTTTGGAGGTCTGTAATTGAGATGAAACTATACAAAAAGATTATAAATACAGGGTCTTAAAAGTCCCAAGTGGAAGAAACTGTACATAAGAAGTTGTGGGATTGTAGTATCCCAGTTACCTGGCATTGTTATAGTCTGAACGTGAAATCATGATTTTTGGGGTTTCTGTACTGTTTCTGTTACCTGCATTGGAAACTAAGAGGGAAAATAGTAGATGTGGAAGCCACTAATTGGATACTGGTTTGGAATTTGGTTATGGAATCCATTCCTCTGTTAGGAAATAGGCACAAATAAAAGACTAAAAATGAATGTATAAACATGTGGCCTTGAGGTGAACAGGGCAGCAGCATTTTAAAGTGTCATGGCTACTTTGGCCATCAATACCAGTGTGGAGAGGTAACTGGTAGATTGGACTAGAGAACTGAAATATAGCAGAGTTGATAGACCCCATATTCACCAAGAGGTGATCTTTTTGCCTGTCAATTCTACTGTCAACTCTACTGTCACCTCTGGCTTCTGCATAAAGACAGTAAATGGGGAAGCCTGTCTCACCTCTGTGATCCTTCAGAAAAAGGTCTTCTCCTCTGCACCTGGTTCTTCATAGGCAGAGAG